GATAACCAGCTGGCGGACGCAGACACAGCTGGGAGACAGAAGATAGACACAAGACTATATAAAGTGTAAGCAAACCACAGAGAGCAGCGCACTCTATCCCCGAGAGCCGAGTTGCTGTCCGAAGTACTGCTCCATCTTCCGACGGAGACGGTCGCCTGCATGTCCGAATTGCTCAGTCTCAACGTGACACAGCAGAGGACGAAGACGTCTCGAGCCTTACCTGCACTCACCTCGCCATAACAGGACAGGTACCTTGGAGCTTCGACTATTGATAGACTGATGGCCTTAAGCCTAGGAATAGTAATAGTTGTAATATTGTGCTAGTATTTGTGTAGGAGTCCCCGCACGCCAACACACTTTTGAATTGATTGGTTACAAGGGATGTAGTCCTGGAGGTTTATTGGTGGGTGCTACCCTCAGGGCTGTGGAATGTGCTATTATTTGTGGGGCCAGAAGTCTCTGTTCCTACCTTATAAGGCTGCTATATTCCTGGGCTTGCTTGAGCCATAGCCCCCTGGGGTGGGGGTGGTAGGTGGAGATTACAGCATGCCTGGGCATGTCCAGGCTTGCCTGAAAACAGCTAGTCAAAATGGGGTCGATAGTTTGTCCTTTCAGCCAAGCAATCAAGCAGTTTACAGAAGCGAAAAAGAGCAGGTTAGTCCTAAAGAGGGGCAGGGATCTCGGAAGCCCAGGGCAGGGGGCCAAGGAGGAGGGTTTCACAGCATCAGAATTTGGTGTCATTGTCTATGTAGTATTGGACCCCTCAGGCATGCAGAATATAAGAGTCACAGGGTCATAGCGGGGTGTGGTGGCGCAGGCCTTTAATTGCAGCACTCGGGAGGCAGAGGCAGGCGAATCTCTGTGAGTTCAAGGCCAGCCTGGTCTACATAGTGAGTTCCAAGCCAGCTGGGGCTATAGGGAGACCCTGTCTCAAAAAGACCCCCCCTCCCAAAAAAAAGGTGCAAAAATAAAGTATACATATAATCTTGTTGCTAGTGTTCTGTTATTAGTCCAAGCTGGAGGAGTGGACCGACCTGGAGTTATTTTTTTGAGGGCAGGCGGGCCAAGCGAAAGTCTTGATCTTTGGTGCCCACATTGTAGAACCCTGAGACCCTCTTCATTCACCCACTACCCTCCAATCCCTCCAGACCCCCACTAATTGCTCTTTATCTTCTGTAAAATGCTTAGCTGCTGCTTTAGACATGCCTAGACATACCCTGGCATGCCCTGACCCCCCACCTACTATTCCCCACCCCCATTCCAGGAAACTATAGATTAAGCAAGCCCGTGCATAAAAACTGCCCTATAAGGTAAAAACAGAGACTCCTGGCCCCACAGGTAACAGTCAGCACATCCCACAGCCCTGAGAATAGCACCTACCAATAAGAAACTTCCAGGGCTACATCTTATACATCCAATCGGTTTAAAATTATGTTGAGGCCGGCGCAGGCTCCTTGAACCAACCAAAATGTATCTTCGGTATTCCCCCCTTTGTCTAAAACCTATAAAAGTCTCCACTCTCCCTTACTCTGGGCTCTCAGCACGGATCGGTTGAGTTGGTGAGGTCTGAGAGCCTGAGCTTAAGCCCAAATAAACCATAAACCTTTGCTTTTGCATTTTGGTGTGTTGGGTCCTCAGTGGTCCTTTTGCGGTCCAGTGGATGAGGTACAACATGAGTCCAAAGGGAGAGGATGGCATTCTCCTCTGCTGGCCCTTGAAGAACTGTTTGGAAAGGTGGCAGTTCGAATCGATGACGTCACTGGGTGCAAAGCCTTTGGAGCATCACCAGGAGACACTCTGGGGTGGGTTTTGAAAAGATGGGTTAGGCGGGCATCTTTCTCACCCTCATGGCCCCTTTTGTGGGCACAGGGTCACAAGCGGTGGTCTCTAAGCACGCATTAGGTGCTATTTAATGGACCGGGACTGGAGCCTGAAACAACGAGCGCCCCACATAATCAAAGACAAAAGTGCTTCCTCCAGGGCCGCCCGGAAGCCTAAGCTGTCGCAGCACACTACCACCAGCGGCTTCCCGCCAATGACTCTGCGCAGACCCGGGGACACGTCCGTACTCCTCTGCGCCTGCGCACCGTGGCCCGCGGCCGGCTGGCGGAACGTACCACTCCCGGGCAGGGGGTGCGCGCGGCGACCCCGCTCAGGATGCTGCGTCTGCCCGTCCCGGCGCCCCCTGCACGTGCGGCCGGTTGGCAGGTTCCGGAGCCCGCGGGCCCGCCCGGAAGTGGCGCGAGAGGGCGGTGACTGTGAATGTGCGGGCGTCCGCTCGCTTTACGGCCCCGGGTCCCGTTTCCCACTCAGGTAAGCGGGGCAAGGGAGTGCGGGCCCAGCAGACGTGGGAGCCGGAGACGGCCCCGGCCAGCACGGGGGCCAGTTTCTCTGCCCGCTGGAACACACTCAGGATCAGCATCTTCTCTGCCCGCGGGAACACACCCGGGACCAGCATCTTCCGGACCGCCAGCGCTTCTCCCTCTGCCGAGAACTGCCCCGAGCAGACAGAATCCCCATAATTAGTGACAGGCTCGCGAGTGGGTTGCTGCCACGATCATCGAGGCGCACGTAGACCAGGAGCCCGAGGCCGACCTGGAACCCCAGCTAGCTCAGGAGCCCCAGCTAGACCACGAGCCCCAGCCAGACCAGGTGCTCCAGGTAGACCAGGAGCCCCAGCTAGACCAGGTGCTTCAGCTAGATCAGGAGCCCCAGATAGACTAGGAGATCCAGCTAGACCACGAGCCCCAGGTAGACCAGGAGCCCCAGCTAGACCAGGTGCTTCAGCTAGATCAGGAGCCCCAGATAGACTAGGAGATCCAGCTAGACCACGAGCCCCAGGTAGACCAGGAGCCCCAGCTAGACCAGGTGCTTCAGCTAGATCAGGAGCCCCAGATAGACCAGGAGATCCAGCTAGACCACGAGCCCCAGGTAGACCAGGAGCCCCATCTAGACCCAGAGCCCCAGGTAGACCAGGAACCCTGAGTAGACCAGCAGCTTTGGGCGGACTGTCCACCCTCAGCTGCTGGGTAGACCAGTCTTGGACGCCTTGAGCCTGGTCCACTGTGAATCCTAACCCTGACTTCCTGGAAAAGAAGGGTTCTGCTAGAGTGTTTACTAACTAGTCAAGAGCTGTCACTTTTGCATACTTTGAGCTCTAAAGATCATGAAGTAAGCCAGCGTGGTGGCACACGCCTTTAATCCCAGTCCTGGGAGGCAGAGGCAGGCGGATCTCTGTGAGTTACAGGCCAGCCTGGTCTACACAATGAGTTCCAGGACAGCTGGGGCTACAGGGAGACCCTGTCTCAAAAGACCAAAAAAAAAAAAAAAAAAAAACCAAAAAGATGCTGAAGTATTATTTAAAGTATCCATAAGTGGTTTAAAATCCTTTATGAGGGTGGGAGAGTGTGACACTCCCATCTTGGTTTTGTGTAAGAAGCGAGGAGAGGAGGCTGATAGACTTGCACATAGACCTGAGGAAGATCCTGTATCTCTGGAATACCTAGGGTGGGTTGGGCCAAACACAGGGTGTGTGTGGGGTCTGGGGGGGCAGGCAGCTGGGTAGGGTTAGGAGGCATGGTCTCTTCTGGGCATGCTCCTGGAGAGGTTTAGTAGAAGTCTTAAAAGATGTGGTTAATGTTGAGACTTCTGCCCCAGGCCAGCAGGTGCCAGAACATTGCTTCTCTGCAGGCTGATGCTGTTGATTATGTGGCTTCCCCTGGGGAACTGGTAGATTCTGGGCATAAACTGCCTCAGTTTCTTCCCCAACCCCAATCATTGACTTGCCTGCCACCAGACCCACCCTGCCTCCTTGTTTATCAAAAAAGTAAGATTCCTCGCTAATTCCACCCACCACCTGCACCCCCAAACCTTTCCCTAGGAAGTATCTCTTCTGTGGTCACACCTCTTTGTTGTGTATTCTTTTCTCCTCTTTTCCGAGGCACGACAGGCCTTTCCCTTGCCTCTGCCCCTCCAGCATTCCAAGTACACTTGACTCTCCATGGCTGTGGACCTGCCTAAGGTTGAAGTTTTGAGAATGCAAAGCCCAAAGCAAAAACAACCATACTGAACATGTACAACCTTTTTCTTGTTAGAATTCTCCTAAAAAGTACAACAGCTGTTTGCATAGCGTTTCCATTGTCCTGGGGGACAGCCAAGCCTGCTCACTGCAGTGCCCTGCCTCCATCATCTTTGTCTACTAAGCTGCCTTTCTGGAATGTCTTCCCTGAGTTTCCCTAGAATCCCTGCCTTTAGTTTTCCTGTGTTTCTCTGTTTGTCTCAATTGTCCTTGACATCTGCATCCTCCACCCGTCCTGAGCTGTCAGCCTTACCTGGGCACCCAAGGCAAACAACACCCAAGACACAGTCCAACCTGCTCAGTGTGATAGACTCCATTTATCTTTAAGTTACCTTGAGGCACCTCTTGGGAAGACTTCTTTGCCTCATAATATCTTGCCCCCTTTTCCCAGGATCTACTGTGATGAACCTGTTCCTGTGTTATTTTTTTTCCTCCTCCCTCCGCTCCTGTGCCTCTCATTTTCTGTAGAGATACGCCTCAAGATTTGTTATAAAAACCTCAAATTCAGCTTATCTGGACAGACCTCCAGGAGTCTTTGTTCCTCTTCTGCCTCCAGGCTCAGCATAATTACCCCTCCAGCCTGCTCCAGCCTCCTGGCTTTCTGCTTCCCAGTGCTGCCCTGCAGGGTTGTTTGTATACCTGGCTGCCTTGCCATTGTGTGCTTTCCTGTGTGCTGCCCGTCCTCTGCAGGCTGCAGCCCCAGCCCTCCTCCTGTCAGAAGCATTTGTATCTTGTCATCTCCAGTGCCTTGGTCACCCATGGTGATGTGTCAAATGTTTCTTATTAATGGCCAAAGTACTGGAATTTGTCGATGCTTTTCTTAAATTAACATTTTAGCTTAACTTAGATTTAATGTTGGCTTTCAACAGTGTCATCCTCGATGTCATGCTGATGTGCTCTGGTGGAAAAGAATGAGGTGACATTGCTGTTGTACTGTGCCTGTGATTCCAGATCTACCTAACAGGGCTGTCAAGGATTAAAGATCCTGGAGCAATAACCCAAGGTACACAACTCACAAGACACAGTCCAACCTGCATGTGATAGACTCCATTTATCTTTTTTGGGCGCGGGGGGGCGGGCTTTTTGAGACAGGGTCTCCCTGTAGCCCCAGCTGTCCTGGATTCACTAATGGAGACCAGGCTGGTCTCAAACTCACAGAGATCCACCTACTTCTGCCTCCCGAGCGCTGGGATTAAAGGCATGCACCCCTACGCCCTTCGATTTATCTTTAGGTTAGCCTGAGGCACCTCTCGGGACGACCTCTTTGCCTCCTAATATCTCATTTTCCCAGGGTCTACTATGGTGAATCTGTTCCCGTGTTGCTTTTTTTCCCTTCATTTCTTTTTTATTTTGGAGGTGCTGAGGATTGAACCTAGGGTCTTGTGCATGCTAGTAAGAGGTTTGCTGTTAACATTGAGCCTGATAGCCAACTGAGCAACTACCCCCCGCCCAGTGTGTGTGTGTGTGTGTGTGTGTGTGTGTGTTTGTTTGTACGTGTGTGCGTGTGCACATGCATGTGTATTTTGTACTGAGATTGAACCGAGGACCTTGAAAATGCTAGGCAAGCAGTCTACCACCAAGGTACATCCTTAACTCTTCCACTATTTTTTTTAAGATATTTAGTCTGGGCTAGCCTGTAACTTGAGTGCCTCCTACCTCTGCCTCCCATGTGCTATAGTTACAGGCATGCTGTGATTTCAGGTGTACTGCAATTACAGGCATGCATCACCATGCCTGGCATCTATATGTGTGTTTTGAGGGCTGTGTTGGGTCATGGTATTTCATGAATGTTTGTTAAACAACTGAATGGATCCAAGAGTATCTGCGTGGCACCAGGTAATTGAAAGCAACAGGACTTGTGCTAGTGGATCATGGATGGAGGTTTCAGGTGTGTTCCAGCCTGCAGCTCTGACAAACACATTCTCCCCCTTTTCTGTACTACTCTTGGGACTGTGTTCTGGGTGGTGGCCTGGTTTTAATGTTTGGCACTGCATCTTCATTGACAGCTTTTGGAAGCTTGGACTGGCAGTCACCTGCAGTTTCTTCAGTCATGAAGAGCTGAGGTAAGTCCCCTCCAGTTCTGACACCCGAGAGTAGTTCTGCGCCAAGGGCGGTCTTCTGCGCTCACTCAGTTCAGTCCTTCCACAGTGTCACTCCACAGGCCTCTGTTCATTTGATCTCATGGTGGCTGACTGAGTTTTGTGAGTCCAGCTTGAAGATGTTGACTCTCAACCCTCTGAAGCGCCTGCTCCCCCCCACCCCCAGTCCCTTGTCACAGTCTGGGAGCTGCCTCGGTTGGCTTCTGAGTCTTCTGAGTCACCGCTTAGAGACAGACTGCCATCTCCAGTCATCTGTGGTGTTCGACATCCCTCTGTGTCAGCGCGGGCTTTTGATCTTAATCGTCCCCTTTAATTTCAGCTGCTCTGAGGGGTTGCAGCCTGCTGACCTCTAGGCACTCATGGTAGAATAGTAAGTCCTCTTCCTTTGAGTCAGACTGGGCTCTTCCCTGTCTTTTTCTTTTCTTCCTTCCTCCTGTGTCTCTCTTCTGTCTTCCTCAGTCTAATGTTGGGGGGCGTGGATGAAAAGGAAAGCAGTTGACGATCACACCCTGGTGTTGGGCTTGAGCATCTAGAGGGCTGCATCCTGGTGCCAAGATGGCTTTGATGCAGGAAGAGTGAGGGGGGCTGAAGAAAGTGTGAACCTGGGACCTGGTGGTGACAAGTGGAGTAGCCTGGAGACCATCAGCAAGAATAGTGGGCCCACAGAGGCAGCCTAAGGAGCATCACTTTAAGGGACACCCAAAGGGAAAGGGGACCAGAAGAGGGCCTGAGGGGTCAGAAATGGGAGGAAATCAAGAAAATTTGGTAGTCTGGTGCCAAAAGCAAAGGGCTTTCCAAAGAAGCAGGCAGGAGCTTCAGGTGATGTTCTAGAACAGCCCACTAATTTAATGCAAAGTGTTCACTGCAGGCCTGCAAGAGCCATAGAGGAGTGGGATTTGCAGGCATGGGAGTGAAGGTATAAGAAGCCCCTTGGGAATTCAGGACACAGAAGGAATACACAAGAGGACACTGGGGGCCCATGGTCCTGGGTGCTGGAGAACTGGCCCATCCTATGTTCTTTGCAGGCTAGCTTTTAGAGAAGGAATTTCAGGGGGAAATGAGCAAGGCCTCTAGTCTAGACACTGTAAGCTGCTTTATTTAACAGGGACTGAGCTACTTTGTCCCTGGTCTCCTGGTACCAAGAGCAGCCCAGGTGCTCAGTATGCAGAGATTGGAGCTCTGCAGCCCCAGAAACAAACTGGGCACTTCTGAGGTTAGTCCCTGCCGCGGACAGGATCCTTCATACCTTCATTATGGCTCTGTCTCTAGACTGTACTGTTAGCAACCTCAGGGCCCTTGTTTACTTTGTCCACAAAACATAAATATCAAGTGCCTCTGTCCTCAAACACTGAAAGAAAAAGATGAAAAGGAATCAGTGTGGCAAGGATGATGAACACTGCACCAGTGAGCTGGAGGAGTGGAAGTCACTTCCCCAAAGAGGCTGTGCCTTGGGGGTGGGTGTGTCCTGGGTCTGCTTTTGCCTGTCCTAGCTGTCTCTCATTGTCTCATGATCTATGGTTCTCCCTTCTGGCCGCCCCTCCCATTGTCTTCAGAGTTATGTAGGGTGACTGAGAGCCATTCTTTTCGTCTTGCCTTGCAGCCTGGGTCCATCTTCTCATTTCCCCAAGTTTCCAAGCATATTGGAAATGGAACAAAACAAAAAGTCCCCCAAGAGGCAGAAACTCCCAGGATCAGTGGGGCAGGAGCCTTCTGTGAGCACCAGCTCCCCTGTGACCAGACCCAAGAACCCAGTTGTCACCTTAGCTTATCCTAGACCTGACTTCAACACCAGAGCTACCAATGCCCCCACTAGATTTGACTGGGCTGCCGGGGCGGGCCTGCCAGAGACTCAGGTCAGACTTGAGTCTCTGGACATAAAGAATGCCATCAATGGACAGAAGAGGAAAGTCAGACCCTCCTCCGTCTCTCAAAAGAATTGTGGAAGAGACTTAACCTTGCAAAGGAGTAGCCCTTGCCCTCTGCCAAGTGCCACGTTGGTTCCTTCAGCAGATCTAGACCAAGTTTTCCTGGAGAAGCAGGTAGAAGAAGCCCTTAGCTCAACTACCTGCCGTGGGAAGAGAAAAACACGTTCTCTGGGGAGATCTGGACTTCACTCTGCTGCCTCCCGGGCAAAGTGCTGGACTAACCCTGGTCAGAGTAAGCCAAAAGGAGACTCTGGAATCTGTAGCCTCAAACTTGTGCCTAGGCAGGAGCCGTCTGTGTGGCCTGAGAAGAGAAGGGTGTCTCAGCAGAAGGCCTGTGCACAGAGAGAGGAAGGGGAGAAGGCAGTGAAGAGGGCGAGGTCTTTGCCACTCAGTGCTGGCCGGGGGTCCTCTACCCCAACTCTGGTCCAGTCCCTCCATCCTACCCGAGTGACCAGCCCTAACAGGTCGGAGGTAGACCTCCAGTCCAGGGAGGATGAGACAAGGCAACCTGACATCCTCACGGCCAGTCTGGCTGGAGATATGCAACTCTTTAAGAAGTATAAGAAAAAGCATTTGCTTCCTGGTGTGAGAAAGAAATCAGGGCCCCAGCCAAGCCTGCAGAAGCCCTCTTGCTTGAAGAATCTGGGCAGACCCATAAAGGCAGAAACCCATGGCTTGGGTTCTGCCCCACATTTCCCAGGCCCTCAGCACAGCACAATTCTGAAGCCCATTCCAGACATCAGGCAGTTTTTTATCGTTGACCTGAAGAATACCTGCCGAATCTTCTGTATTCTATGTCAGACCACTGTCAGGCAGCGCAAAACTCAGGGGTGGTCTCGTGTCTCAGGCCTGGTCCGTCACTTGGTCAAAAAGCATGGGCTGGAGTGGGAGAGGAGGTCCACAGGTAGCTCAGTTGAGGGGATGGGAGGGGTAGAACAGGTGCAGTGGAAGGCCTTGCCCACTGGTGCTGCTAGCCCCGCCTTACAGGGGTGTCTAACACCCAAACAGTATCCAGACAGCCTACCCTCTAGAGACAGTGACACAGAATTGGTCCTGGGCAGACCTGAACAGCTGTGCCTGGCCTCACCTCTGCCTATTACCCCCACAGCAGTCAGGGACAGCCAGGATGGCACACACACCCCAAGTCAGCTCCGTGCACAGTCTTGGAATCACAGCATCACAGAACTTCTGTGTAGCTTGGCCTTGCCACTGTCCTTCATCTCCTCCCAGCCTTTCAGGAGGTTCATGTCCCAGGTGGACCCTTGCTATCATCTACCCTCCCCAGGGTTCTTCTCTGACAGAGCCTTGCCCCTGCTTCATGAAGCTGTGGGTGAGCAAGTGCTCCAGGAGATGCAGTGGGCTGGTGGGGCCCATGTTCACCTCACTGCTTCCACGTCTGCCCAGGACTCGGTGAACTATGTGGCTGTCACTGCCCATTGGGTCCCAGATGGCAGACCTGTGACTTCGGGGAGCCTGAGGAAGCGAGCTGTGCTCTTGGTCCGAGGCTTGCCTCTGGAGAGAGCCGAAGAGGACAGGTATTCGGAGCTGCTGGAGCAGATCAGCTTATGGCTGGGCCGGGGCTCCCTGAAGGCCAGCTTCCTGGTTTCCGGTGGCTGTCCTAGCCTGGAGCGAATGGCAAAGGCTGAGGGTTACATCCATGTACCTTGTTTTATCCACTGCCTTGACTCCCTGGTGAATGACTTTCTGTGTAATCATAATAGTGTCCAGATTGTCCTAGGAACCGCCAAGGCCATCTTTAGCCATTTTAAAGGCTGCCTGGAGGCCCGGAGGCTCCTTGGCCAGCTCCAGCAGCAGTATGGCCTCCCAGCCCAGCAGCCCTTCAGTGAGCTCTCAGACCACTGGGTCTCGGCTTACCACTTGATGGAGTGGGTGTTGGAGCAGCAGCAGGCCTTGCAGGCGTATGCAGAGAAGCAGCAGCCAGGCCAGGCCAGCACTGCCCTGTCAGCCATGTTTTGGAGCCTGGCTGACAGTCTGGTCAAGCTTCTGCAGCCCTTTGAGATGGTGTCCCGTGAGGCCAGCACAGCACAGGCTTCCTTAAGCCAGGTGCTGCCCCAGCTTCGCTACCTGCACATCTTCCTGGAGCAGGTGCACAGGTACTTCATAGAGCAGAGCAGTGGAGAGGTGGATGTAGCCTTGCGGCTAGCTGAGGGCCTGGCCCTGCAGCTGTCCACTGACTGTCAGCTCAATGAGTTGTTCTACCGTGAGGAGTTTGTGCTGGCCACCTTGCTTGACCCCCGCTTCAAAGGCAGGGTTGAGGCCATCCTGCCTGTTGGGGCTGACATTGACCACTGGAAGCAAGTCCTTGTTTACAAGGTGAAGGAGATTATGGTATCTGAATGCCCCTTGCCCACTTTAGGTACCCTACAGAGTTCCAAGGGCAAATGTATGGGCATTACCAGAACAACCAGGAGCCCTGCGGCCAACAGGAATGGCCAGGGGCAGTCTTCCCAGAAAGGTGGTGATGCAAGCACATGCCTGTTGGTCCAGAGAGAGAAGAGTTTATTGCAGCAGCTGGAAAGTGTGGGCCTGCTGGCATCTGAGAATAGCGGGGCCTCGCTCTCCACTGAGAATCACATGGCTAGTGTCATTGTCAAGAAATACCTGCGAGAGAATGAGACCATTGGGGCCCAGGAGGACCCCCTGGCTTACTGGGAGAAGAAGCGTGAAGCCTGGCCAGCCTTGGCCCGGCTGGCCACCGTCTATCTGTCCTGTCCACCCACAGGAGCCTCCTCTGAAGGCGTGTTTGCCTCCCTGAACAGCCCCACCATGATAGAACCAAACTCGTCTCTCAAGGTGGAGGCTATTGAGCACCTGCTCTTCCTAAAGACCAACCTGGAGAGCTTCCCTCACTATACCCCTCCACCCCTTGTCTTTGCCAGTAATGGTGTAGGTGAGGGAGAGCACCTGTAGCACATCTGTTCTGCCAAGGTGGGTGCCTGGAGCCTCAGAAACTTGGAGGTACAGTCGACAGACTGCAGCCTCCAGAACCTTCCAGGGACCCTGCAGCAGGCACAGGTGAAGAGCAGACTGCGGAATTTCAGTGATCTTAAACCTGCCTGGTGGGAGTGAAGACGGCCTCCTCATCCTTCACAGACTGCTGTTTTGGGGGCTTGGGCGGGGAAATGGGCGAATGAAGTCAATTTCCACCCACCCCCTCGCCTCATTGATCATTACCCTCTAGTATGTGTACAGAGGAGGTTTACTGGGTTCACATGTGGCTGTGGGTTGTAGTGTGCAGGTTTTTGTTTTTTAGTCATCTCATGTAGTGCAGGCTGACCTCACACTGTGTAGCTGAGAATGACCTTGACCTCTTGACTCTCTCTAGTTGGGATTGCAAGAGTGTGCCACTGTGGTGTTGCAATCAAACCCAGGGCTTCAGAGTGCTAGGCATGCACTCTGCCCACTGCACTACCTCCCCAGCCCTTTTATTGTGAAGTTTTATATACTGCAGTGCTATATCAAAATATTAGCAGGTATTAAGGACCCATGTTTATGTGGATGCCTGCCTTTACCCAAAGCAGCCAGGAACAATAGAAGCAGGCTGGAGGGTGGGATATGAACTGGGTTCCAGAGAGCCTGTGGGAGCTCCTACTGCTCTTCTGAGGCTGCTGTTAAGAAAGGAAGAAACTCAGGGAGAGCAGCCATGAGACAGTCTTGGGGATGTCAGACTGGCCAGAGAATGACAGAGCCTCGGTACCTAGTCCTCAATTTGTAGCTTTTAGCAGTAGGTGACTGAGTGTTGTGTCTGCCATCATCTGTTGCTGGACACTTGGCCATTTTTAGAGTAGACCTCTGATTTGGAAGAGGGAAAGGCGTGTACAGAACCTGGCTGATAAGAGGTGGCCAAATACTGTAGTGCCAAGTATAAGACCTGAGGACCAGATTTCAAGAATGACAGAGGGAAGAGAGTTTGGGGCAGACCCAGGGCACTCAGCAGGCCTGACTGAATAGCCTGAGGGTACTTGGTCACTGGGCAGGGTGCTTCTGAGATGGTTGGAAGTTGGGGGCAAGCTCAAGGCTCAACCCAGCTTCTCGCTGGCCTAGCAGCCCTGGAGTTCTGTCCGTGGCCTCTCCTAGATAGTGTTAATCAGGTTTCAGTGGCTGTGGCTGCTGGAAAATCACTGGGAATGTCAGGAGCAGGAAAGGTTAGCCTTGATCCTGTCACTCAGAGACAATGCTTTGACATAGTCCCCTTTTTACATTGAGATAACACTTGATAAGCCTCTTAGTGGTGTCTATTTTAACAATAAACAGTAGCATCTTGTAATTCTGCAAGTGACTCAATGGCTGGGGTGGCATAATTTGAACTCCAGGTCGACCTCTGCGTCGCTCAGACCTTTCCCTGAGGCACTGGAATGGCTGGTAGGTGGGAGGCGAGTGTTCACAGGTCCCCATAGGATGTAAGGCTTTTCAGGAGAGGGGTCCTTCAGAACTGGGCTTGAGGGCTAGGATGTCCCTGGTGCCCTGGTCTTGGTGCTGCCTCCTAGAGTCCTATTTAGCAGATTGGGCAGGAGTGGTTAAGGGATGAGATGCTTGGAGTTGCCCTGTGGCAGCCTGCCATCCCTTGATCTTGTGCAGCGTTGCAGACCCTTCTCCCAAGTTCCCTCTAAGATGCAGGGCAGGATGAGTTGGGTGGAGGATGGGGTTGAAGAAGAGAATGAGTTTGGTATCTGCAAGCCACAGGGCTGGAATTCTAGAGCCTCTGGTTCCTAACTGCATTTTTTGGCCCTGTGCAGCACTGGGTAGTGAACACGCCCTCTCATGTTGGGCAAGTGTTCTACCACTGAAACACATCCCCAGCCCCTAGTTTACTTTTTACTTTGAGATAGGGCTTTACTCATTTGTTTTGAACTCACGCTCTAGCCCAGGCTCATAGGTCAGTCTAGGGGACATTTTGTGTGGGGTGTGTGTGTGTGTGTGTGTGTGTGTGTGTGTGTGTGTGTGTACAGAGGCCACAGGGCAACCTTGAGTGCCACGCCTCAGGAGTCATCTTTACTGAGATAGGGTCTTGCTGGGAGACCTGGGCTCATGGACTAGCCTAGAGTGGACGGTAGGCCCTGGGGATCCTCCTGTCTCTGCCTCGCTTACAAGTGTGTACTGCTTTTATGTGTTTGCTGGGTATCAAACTTCTGTCCTCATGCATAGGCAGCACTTGAGGGAAGAGAGAAGCTGGATTTCTGTCCCAGTTGGGTTCTGCCCCACCATTTCCGCTGTGATTTTGATGTGGACATGCACAGCCACTTTCCTTACTGCCTCCCTGTCCGCCCACTGCCACCTTTTCCCCTTCAGTGGCAGCTTCCTTAAGAAAGCCCTGACCCAGTTCCTCAGTGCCACCACCTTCTGCTGCTTTGAACTCTCCTTCACTTGGGACTGCCCCTCTGGCAGCTGCACCCTGGGCCTCAGCTGGTCTAGGTGTGTGTGCGGGGGTATGCCAGTATCCGCCACTCTGAAAGCCTTGATCCATGGTTGCTGTCATGTTCTGTCAGACTCACGTGGCTTCAAGATGGTGGTATTTGCTGAGTGTAGCCTTGATGTCTGCCTTGAATTGTGCACAGGGCTTCCTAACCACTTTCACCCCAGGGCTGGGGTTGGAGAGCACACTACGGGAGATACCCCTGCAGACTCTTAAGAGAGTCTGCCACCTGCTGAGAATGTCTGGGTCTTTGTAGACTGGGATTGTGGCTGCCTCTTAAACCCAATGCTGCACTGTCTGGAATGTCACCTTTTGCTAGTCCCTCCTTCCCTCCCTCCCCTCCCTCCCTCCCTCCCCTCTATTTTTAAGTGAATGTAACTGAGGGAAAGCACGCACGTCCTAACCCGGGGAAATTTGGCGTACAAGGAAAAGTGCAAAGGATCAGGAGAACAAGCCGACACTGTTCTTTGAGGATCTGTTTGTGAAACTCGGGAGAGCCTCGTGCAATTCTAGCTGCCTATAAAGCACAGCGTGCAACTGCGTTCCAAGATCTGCAACCGCAAAGTGCTTGCTTGTAAAATTGACCGTGGGAAGCACTACAGCCCTCCCTCCCAACAGCTCCCCCCAACCCCCGTTCTTCACAAGCCAGGTGACAGCTCCCTCCTCTCCCTCCCTCCCTCCCTCCCTTGCTTTTTTCCTTTTTTTATACTCTTCATTTTTTTTGTGTGTGTGGCAGTGCTGAGGCTCAAACCCAAGGCATTGTACATAGCAGCCAAGCACTGTACCACCAAGTGCACCCCTAGCCCCTTGGATGTCTCTGACCCACCTTGTGCTGTCTGCCATATCTGAGAAGAAGCCTCCCCCTCCAATGGGTTGGTCCCCCTGGGCAGATCCCTAGTTCTGGCCTCTTCCCCCTCTCCCCACTGTTCCATGCCTCAGTTTTGTTGGGTCTACGTTCCCTATGTTTGTAGAGTTTATGCAGATGTCCTGTGTGTGATGGCCTCCTGCTTCCTCCTCTGTGGGCTGGGACAGTTCTGATGTGCAGAGGTTGCCTCATTACCCCTGCAAACCCCAGCACTCCCTCTCTTACCAGGGGGCTTCTGTACTCAGTGGACACTGCCAGTTCCTTTGGGAAAGCCATCGCATGTGAATAAGGGTGGATTAGAGTGTTGCAGTTGAGGGAGATGCTGGCTGGGAGACTGGGTACCATGAAGACAGACAGGCTTGGGGGAGGAGGTTCAAGAGCTCTTCCCAGCCGCTGCAGCTCACTGGTGGGGAGCTCTCTGAAGACACTGCTGATGGAATCACTGATGGGTTTTGCTTTGGTCCTGGTTTCCTTGGTGGAGGGAGGTAGTACACACGGCATTGAGCCCTCGAGCTTAGTCTTGTGACTCATTCCCTGCTCCTGCAGGCTCCGTAAGCAGCACTGGCAGTGGTCCTCGTGTTCCTTGTAGGTTTCACTTGCTCACCTGGCCTGAGAGATGGGGCCTGACAAAAGTGCAGTTTGGGAGGTGGTACTTGGAGCGAGGCTTGGTCTTGTTTTCCTGTCTGCTTGGACCTTGATCCTCTATGGGCAGCATCACCACTGTCCCTCCCCCCCCAAGTAGCCTCCTCATACTGGTCACCCATGAGCATCTGGGCTCACTGTCCTACAGCCACTGGTGACACGATATCCCCCTCCCACATTTCAGCACTGTCTTGGGTGCCCCTCCCTGCTCCAAGAGTTTCTGGGCTTGCCCTCCTCCGGCTTGCTCTTTCGGGCCCTGATGCCCTACTTGTAGCTAGCATTGTGCTGTCTGCCACATAGTGATTGATGCTGTCCTGTTGACCTCTGGCCAGGTGATGATGCCCAGGCAGAAGTGCTGGTTGGGGTGGATGGGTTGGGTGGAGTGTTGAGCAACAGTATGTCACTGGCTTACCCCTGCTTCTTTGCCACCTCCCCCCTTTGACTTCAGTTTCCTCCATCACCTGGGACTAAAAGCCTAGCCCTTAGGTTGCACAGCTCTAGCCAGGACTGCAAATTGGCCTGTGTAATCTAGAAACCACTTTAAACTCTGATAATGTTAGAAAAACAGAGATAACATTTTTGAGTGAATGAAACAAATTATGGTACACTCTCACTTGGGTTCATTTAAAAAGACAGGAGTCATGGTGCAAGCCTGTAATCCTAGCATAACTAGGAGGATCAGGAATTCAAGGCAAGGCTACAATGAGACCCTGCCTTGGGAGAAAAAAAATCAGCCGACCAACCAAATATCCAAAATTTACTTCTTCAAAATGAACACCTGAGTGGGGATTAATAAAGATACAGTGGTTGCTGGGAAAGTAATGACAATTTTACCCCTAGTCCAGATTTAACCGATGGGCCAAATTGGTAACAGGCCCCATGCTGCATGGCTGTGACCAGTGGACTGAGCCAGTCACTTCCCATAGGCTGGGACTGTGCCCTTCTCTGTCACTCATATGGCCTAAGTCTTGCCTGGTTGCAGGCCACTAGTTCAGGTAATCAAGGCTGGTGGGTCTGGCATCCCTCTCTTCTCTGCTGCACAGTACACAAGTGCTCAGGAGCAGCCAGCCTGACTGTTTGTCTCTTTAGGGACCTGCAGGCCCTGAAGCATCAGAAGCCTCTCTGCACTGGCCCTGAGGAGAGCTGACTGGAGAGCTGCCCACTGACCCCCCAGAGGCACCCACCTCCTGGTGACTAGGCCAACACTGCCAGGGCCAGGCCATCTGAACCACCTTCTGTACCATGGAACCTCCTGGGGAGAAGCCGGGAGACGCTGAGGGGCTGCGCATCACACCCCAGCTGCTCAAGTCCCGGTCTGGAGAGTTTGCCCTGGATTCTATCATGTTGCTGAAGCTGCGGGGGTTAGGGCTGGTGGACCTGGGCTGTCTGGGCGAGTGTTTGGGTCTTGAGTGGCTTGACCTATCTGGCAACGCACTCACACATCTGGGTCCCCTGGCATCTCTGCGGCAGCTAGCTGTGCTCAACGTCTCCAATAATCGGTTGACAGGGCTGGAGCCCCTGGCGGCCTGTGAAAACCTACAGAGCCTCAATGCTGCTGGGAACCTGCTCTCCAGTCCTGGCCAGTTGCAATGTCTGACTGGGTTGCAGGGCCTGGAGCACCTGAGGCTCAGTGACCCTTTGGCTAGGCTCAGCAACCCATTGTGTACTAGCCCCGCCTACTGGGCTGTGGTTCGGGAGCTGCTGCCTCGCCTGAAAGTCATAGATGGCCAGCGTGTGAGGGGGCGTGGCAGTGAGCTGTACCATTTGTGCCGAGACCTGGACAGTAACTTGCGCCCCAGCTCCAGCCCAGGCCCCAGAGTCATCGAGGCCCAGCCCTGGGTGGAGCCTGGATATTGGGAGTCCTGGCCCACCCGGAGCAGCTCCATTCTGGAGGAGGCCTGCCGGCAGTTCCAGAACACACTGCAGGAATGCCTGGACCTGGACCAACAGGCCAGTGACAGCTTGGCCCAAGCTGAGCAGGCTCTCAGCCCCACCGGAACCACCTCCTCCTTTGTCTTCTGAGTGGATGTGCCCCACAGCCCCAGTAGCCAAGCAGCCTGCAAATTAGGTTGTTCATTATCCCTGACTTGAGAACATCCTCCCTCCCTCATTTGCCCCACCAGTGTACTTCCCTACCCTCTTCATACAAGTAGGGACACATCTGGTTGGCCTCTAGCAGCTACAGGAGTTCTCCACAGGTATCTGGCAGATACACTGTGCAGGCAGGCCTGGGCATACTGAGCAGAGGCACTTTGAGCTGCCCCAGCCTGAGACTTGGTGGCCTCCTGAAGTTTAGTGGCCAAGGCTACTTCCCACCTACCAGCTCTATTAAATAGCTCTGTGCTTATTTACGTCACTGCCTGTCTCATTCCTGAGCAAATATGGCTTTCTATACCTCTGATCCTGTAGGAGGCATCAGTCACCCTATGTGCTACTTCCTGGGTGCTGGGCAGGAAGTGTGGGCACCCATAAGCAAAGGGGCACACCCCCCCCCAACTTGTTTTATATGTACAGGCTGTGGTGAAGGGAAAAGCAACGCAGGCACAAAAGGAACAGACTTGGCACTTTTATTTGGAATGTCATGGACTCGGGTAGAGGTGCTTCCACAATACTGCAACAGCTGTCTAGGACACAGGGGGATTCTAGAGAAGAGGGGGGAACCAGATTGGGCCTGAAGGAGGCTGTTTTGGTCTAGTCTGAGCTTTCTTCCAGGTATTAGACATCCATCCCTTCCCTGCCTCCCACAGCCCAGTCTTCATTGAAATGGCTGTCCCTGCTCTCTAGTCACCTTTCTTCCCGGGGCTCAGTTGTGTAGTTCAGACCTTGAGAAAGCAAACTGTCCAGGGAAGAAGTAGCTGTGGGGGTCTTCACCAGCCTGGGCCACCTTGCTACATCGAGACTCCTGGAGGTCCTGGCAGTACCAACAGCTGTTGTAGCAGTGCCCGGGCCGGTAGGACTGCCACAACCCCTTGGAGTGTCTTGGCCATGCCCAGGCCTTTTCTCAACCCCACCATGTGCTCCTCCCCTCTTTCCCAGGCTTTCTGTACCCCTCCTGAAGACCCAGCTCCTTTCCATCTCTCCACCCAAGTCCTTAGCCTCTGCCCCTTCTTACCTGAGGCCCTTGCTTCAGTATTGGGCAGTGAATCATCCGGCTTAGAACTTTACCCTTGGGGTCTAGTTTGATGCAGGCTAGGCATTTCCGCTTCCTCTGGGGAAGGAAGGCATAGGATAGCAAAGGAATGATGGGGCACCAGGAAGGCCGGGGTGGGGACTGGCTCTCTGGCCTGCCCTGGAGTAGAGGGCAAGAGGACCTGCAGGCCAGCAGACTTCAGGCACAGCCTACCCTAGGAGATTTGAGGTTTCTTCCTCCTCCTCCCCCACTTCCCCTTCCTCTTTTTCTTTTTGGGCATGTTCTTAAGTAGCTCAGAGTGGTCTGGAACTTGGGATTGATCCACCTGCTTTAACTTCATCAATGCTGGGGTTTCAGGTGTGCGCCACTGCTCTGCCTGCAAACTGTGGTACTTTGGCTGGTTTAGAAGCAGGGCTAATTCCTAGATGAGTGTGCATGCATGCATGTGTGTGGTGCTCATATGCAGTAACCTGATGGGTGTATGTGAGTGTGCATACATGTCTAAAGGCAAGAATCTTCCCCTGATGGGCTCTCCCTACACAACTTCTATTGTCATTTTTGTATATGTGTGAAGTAGTGGTGTGTGTGTGTGTGTGTGTGTGTGTGTTGGTGTACCTGTGTGTGAGGGTGTCCATAGCTGAGTGTGTGTATTTGCCAGAGAAGGATGCTCAAACACTCCCTGATTTATTTCCTTAAGGCCAGGTCTCTCACTGAACTTGGAGCTAGGCTGGCAGCCAGCAAGCCCCAGAGATCCTCCTGTCTCTGCCACTGCAGTGCTGGAGTTACAGGCAGGGGTGGCCATGCCCAGCTGTTTGAATATGGGATTCAATCTCATGTCCTCAGGCTTGCACAGCAAGTGCTCTTACCCACCGGCCCATTATCCTCGCCCCTTATTTACATTTTCTTGTAAGACTTGATTTCAACAAACTATGAGTCCTGAAAATCCCAGTGTGCTCCATGGGAGGTGGTTCAGGATAAACCCCATTCAGAGGCTAATTTTGGGGGTGGGGGCCTCAGACAGGTGGCCCTACTCTGATGGAGAAATTTTCTTCTCCATCCTGTGCAGACACCCCCTTGTGATCAACACAGGGCTTCTCTGGGCTCCACTCCCATACATGGGCTGCCAGACTCAATACATGCACCCTTTCACTCACCCCGTTCGGCTTGACTTTGCACTCTGGTTTTCTCCAGTCCTTCTTGAGGCAGTTTGTCTGCTGGAGCTTAAATTCCAACTTCACAAAGGTGCCAGCTGGGAAGGGCTACAGACAGACAGTTCTTGATGTGATTCCCCACCCCAAACACCATAACTGAACCAGCACAGCCCAGGAGGGTGGCTGGCTGGTGGCCTTTCCCAGGAAAGCTTTCTAGGAGTACACTGGTCTCCCTTGCTGCCCTCCAGTCCCTGCCCAGTCATGGCACTTACCGTGTCCTCGGCGCTGTCCACACCAGTCTCCTGGAAGGCCCAGTGCAGGGGTGGGTGCTCGTGGAACAGCTCCAGGGCCACCTGCAGGCCCCTGTGCTGTGTCTCTGTGAGCTCGGTCCCACCCACACCCACTGTGCCCAGCCAGAGGGCCAGCGAGATCAACAGGTGCTTCATGGCTTCACCTCGGTCCTCAGGTCCTGCAAAGAGGGTGTGTGCTCTTCAGCTCTTGGAGCCTGTGGGAGCCACCCCTCCTCTGCCCTACCCATGGGGAGAAGCAGGGGAAAGGCCTATTCTCCTTTGGAGTCCACCTAGGGCCTCCCACCCTGCCAGGCACTCTTTCCTTGGGCCTTCAAAGTTTTAGTTTCCTTCCAATAACCGGGGAAGCAGCCTTTCTTGTCTTGCTGGGTCTTCCCACCAGCAAGGGCTTCCCACTCTGTGGGCTGTGGCCCTCCGCTAAGGCCCCCAAGGGTCCCCCTGCTTTTCTGCCCAGTGTCCCTCTAACCCTCTGGAATCTTTCCTCTCTTCTCCCGCGTCTCTCACAGCTCAGCCTCTCCCCACTGACCCTTCTTGGAGTTCAGAATTCCCCCAGTTCCCGTGGGTCCCGCCCTTCCCCCTCATTGGAAGCTTAAGCCAATGGTGGGGGAGGGGCAGGGACTGGCGCACCAAATGGGACAGACTGAAGGCTGAATATTTTTGGGAAGACGTAAATACGTGGGAGGGCCCAGAGCGGGTGGGAACTGCAGGATGGTTAACCCTCCTCACACTGGGGCTGGCCCTGTCATCAAGCTATCCCAGGTCCCCAGGAACGGGCATCCCCAATACCCCAACCTAGCCTTGGGCTCTGTAGCACCCATCTCTCAACCCACAATTGGGGTCACCTGAGGGATAACTTTCCAGAGAATCCTGCCTGGACAGGTGGTCTTGGGACTAGAAAGCCACACATGGATAAACTGAGGCACCTTCAGTGGTTTGTTGTTTCAGTGGTTAAAGGCTTTCCCTGTGGCCTGACTCTGCCACCTGTCTGGCAGTCGGCTGCCTCCCAGGGGGCTGTCTTCTTTTACCTCTTTGGTGTTTTTTTTTGGGGGGGTGGGGTCTGTCCTCACCCTCCAGGGCCTTACCTTGGCTGACCTCAGTCTCTTCCCTGCAGCCGGACCGCCAGACGGCTCTCTCCCGGGAGCCCTGCCTCCAGCTCCACCCTTGGATTCCCCAGCAACACCCCTGTACTTCTGGACTGATGGGGCGGGAGCATGCGCCTCCCTACCTCTACCTCAGCCCCACCCACTTCCCTCCCCTTTGCCAGCCATCGGACCCTGACCCAGTCACTCCTCCTGGGCTGCCAAGACTTGGGCAGAGCAGTATTTTCTCATTGCTCTCTGGCGGAGGACCAGAATCCTTTCTTATCTCCACTGGACATGTGAGGCTTTTTCTCTAAGGGGTGAGGGACCACTTTGCTTGCAAGGACGTCCATTTCCAGCCCCACTTCCCTAGGAAGAATTGTCCAAGAACTGTGGAGCCACAGCCAGCCCCCTGCTTCCCACTCTCCAAGGCTGCCTGTGACCGGGGGCCTCTCCTGCAGGGCTGACAGTGACATCTGGTGTCCGTGGTGGCCCCTGAGTGCTGCTTTCCCTGGTTGTTCCTCATGCCCCATCATAAGTCAGGGGACATGAACTTACAGCAGTGGTGTCGGCATGCACAAGACTCATGCAGACTTCACCAGACAAAAACCCAGCACGGAACTGGGGAAATGGGCAGGAGGCCCCAACCTTAGCCGAGGAACTATTGGTTCACTGCTGGGTGAGGGAGAGTTGGCCTTTAAGGGACTGATGCTAGGCTGAATAGACTCCAGTGAAGGAACTCACACCAAGGGACATCTGGAGACACAAACTGACTCCATAGACCTTAACATATATGACAAAATCCATGAAATCTGGTGAGCAGGCTTTGGGGGGGGTGCAGATGAGGAGGGGGTCTAAATAGGACTAAAATCTGTTGCAGGAAATGCACAGAAATTCAATAAAAATATTTTTTAAAAAGTGGGGCGAGAACCAGCATTTCATATGGGGTGTTTGGCACTGCACGTTGAGCAGAATGTTCTCGCGAAACTCATAATGGATGTGGAGTCCAGGAAAAGTGTCCACATATTAGCTCAAGTCCTTGGTACCTGGAACAAACAGGACAAGCCTGGGTCTGCATATCAAAAGCAATCCCCCACCATTCCCTTGGGTCTGTTACCAGGGTTGTTAGGTTCAAAGCCTGGGCTTTGGCAAACCCATCGAGCTAGGCTCTGCCACTGGCCTCCAGTATGCCGATTAAAAAGAAAAATAGGGAAACGCAGAAAGATTAATTCAGTGTCACCACATTGGGGAGAGGAACAAATAAAGAAATGCCGTGACCCCCCCCTGCCCCAAGTCTGTCTTCCAGGTAGTAGCATGAAGTTTTTTTTTTTTGGTCTTTTTGAGACAGGGTCTCCCTGTAGCCCCAGCTGTCCTGGAACTCACTATGTAGACCAGGCTGGCCTTGAACTCACAGAGAGCCACCTGCCTCTGCCTCCCAAGTGCTGGGACTACAGGCGTGTGCCACCACGCCTGGTGAAGTTTAATTTTAAATAGAGGGCATGGGTATGCATAATTTAGCAGTCCTGGTCAAGATGTGGTCCCATCCATCCCTGACCCATCCATGTCTCCTCCAGTCTCTCTTGCAAGGTGGTCTGACGTTTCCAGAACGGTGTGAAATCTCTTCATGATAGGCAAGTTCCTTTTGGCTGGCACCAGGCTTCAGCCTTCTCACAGCATGAGATTCCTGGGGAAGTTTGAATTCTTCGGGGTACAGTGTGTCCGTAGTCTGATACCACAAGTATCTCTCTTTACAGTATTTTTTCTCCATGGCTCTCAGGACTTGGCTCAGTGATGGGGAGTACTTGCCAAGCATGTGTAAAAAAGGCCCTGGGTTTGAGCCACTGCACTGTGAACAGTATTTTTTTCTGCCAAGACTGTTACAGTTCTAAGCCCTAACTAAGGCAGTTACCTGAAACAGGATCTCAGAGGACCTCCCTAATGTGTCTGATCTCTTGTTACCTGAAAGATGGGGTCATAATCCCTATGCTACAGAGTTGCTTGAGGGAGGGCATGAAATGGGGAACTTAGGAAAAGTGACTGGCTGGTAGGCAGTGTTGGGCATAAGGTTCTCTCCCCTTACTGTTTACTCAATGCAAGGACTCTTCATGTAGTGCTAAGGGCTTTAAAAATTATTATATTATTATTTATTGTTTATTTTTAGTGTATGAATGTATTACTTGCATGTATATAAGTGCACTGGTATCGTGCAATGCCCGTGGAGGTCAGAAGAGGGCATCAGATCCCCTGGAACTGGAGTTTCCAATGGTTGTTAGCTGCCATGTGGTGCTGGGAATCAAACCCAGGTCCTCTGCAAGAGCAGTCAGTGCTTTTAACCGCTGAGCCATCTCTCCAGCCCCATTAAGGGCTTTTTAGAAACCATGTGTTCTGAGGGCAGCAGCAAAGTCTTCGGCCCTGAGAACCAGCTGGGCCATTGGCATTTCAGTCACTAGCTATCAGTGAGCAGAGAAAGAGATGGTATTTCAGTGTTATTTCTGCTGCTATGATAAAACACCCCGACAAAAAGCAACTTTAACGAGGAGAGGGTTTATTCTGCTAATAATTCAGGTAATTGTCCAGCACTGCAGGGCAGTCAAGGCAGGAACTTGATGCAGCATAGATAGAATGCAAGCATGCCTGCTGCTCAGCTAGCTTTCTCTACTCACAGTTCAGGTCCTGAATCCAGGGAACAGTGCAGGCCACTATTAGGCTTTCTTTTTCTTGGAGCATCAGATTTAGCTTACTTATATGTAGTGTTATATTGTTGAAACTTTAAAGATCCTCCTCCCCCTCCCCTCTCCCCCTTCCCCCCTCCCCCTGTCCCCCCCTCTTTGGTCTTTTTGAGACAGGGGCTCCCTGTAATCCCAGCTGGCCTGGAGCTCACTATGTAGACCAGGCCAGATATTCCTGACCATACTGTAATTTGTAATCTCCCAGGGTTAGTTTCCCAAGTACTGGAATTACAGTTGTGTGTAACCATGTTCAACTGGACTTTTAAAGTCTTTGCCAGTGACTATTTGGTAAACATGCCTTTTTTTTCTTAGATGTGACATAGGGTTTCCTGAAGATAAGCTGGCATCAAGTTCAGCTATGGTAAACACATGCCTTCCGTCACTCCTTTGCTATTATCATTTTACATCTTCCTAGAAATACTAGCCAATATCATTGGCAAGCATGAAAAATTGATCATAAGAAAATTTGAAGGCTGAGGAGGATCATTTGCGCCTCCTTGTTTGGGACCAGCCTGAATTACATTGTGAAACTTCATTTCCTTCTCTCCCTCCAAAAACCTAAGAGTAAAAAGTTTTATTACTTGCAAATGATGGGAATATGGCCTCACTTGAAAAAATCTAACAGAATGAATGGGAACAAAGCATTACCTACACCACATATTTCTAAGCATAAAGGAATTAGACCATAGCATTTTAAATCCCATTTTATAATGAAATAAGGCTAAATTCCTAGGAATGAACTTAATAAAAACATGAAAAATATTAATGAATGTTAAGTGGTATAAGACATATGAAAGAAACCATAAACAGATATGTAGACCCAATATGGAAATCATATAGGCTAGGCGACAGGTCAGTGGTAAGATTCTTGCCCAGCATATGTAAGGCCCTAGTTTCAATCTCTAGCCCCTAAAAAAATTCCTAAACTATAAATGTTCCAAGAAGAGACAGATCAAATCTAGCATTGCATTTTTTGGACTTATTTATTTTATTTGACTTATTTAATGTGTATGAGTGTTATGCCTGCATGCGTTTAAGTGCCCCTGTGTCATGCAGTGCCCATAGAGGACAAGGACAGAAGAAGGCATTTGATCCCCTGGAACTGGACAGTTGTTAGCTGCCATGTGGGTGTTGGGATTTGAACCCAGGTCTTCTGCAAGAGCAGCCAGTACTCTTAACTGCTGAGTCATCTCTCCAGCCCAAATATGGAAATATGAATGAGCACAAATACCTAGAAGTATTATAAAAGAGTAATATTGGGCTTTTGTTTTGTTTTTTGACAGGGTCTTCCTAACCACAGCCTGCCTGAAAGTCATGATGTGGACCAGGATAATCTCAATCTCACAGAGATCCACCTGCCTCTGCCTTCCGAGGCCTGGTATTAAAGGCATGTGCCACCATTTTAGATGTTCATATGGTGATAGTAAAAATGTACTATTAGGGTAGGTATGATGGCACACAACAGTAATCCCAGCACTTAGGAGGCTGACGCAGGAGAATTGCCATCATTTTGGGGCCATCTTAGGCAACATAGTGAGTTTCAGGCAAGTTTGAGCTATACAATGAGACCCTGTCTCAGAAACAACAACAAAAAGGCAAAAAACAAAACAGACGTGAAGCCAGGTGTGGTGACCCATGCCTTTAATACCATCATTCAGGAGACAGAGGCAGTCAGATCTCTCTGAGATTGAAGTCAGCCTGGTCTACATAGTGAGTTCCAAGCCAGCTGGGGCTACAGGGAGACCTTGTCCCAAAAAAGAGAAAGACAAATGAAAGTTAAAAAAATGTATTGATAATCTAAAGTATTTAAAATCAAATTAGGGAATAAGTAGGTAAATCAATGGAATAGACTAGGAACTTCAGAAATAGAATTAAATACTCTGTAATATAAAGGTATCATCTTAAGTCTTTAGGCAAACATGTATTTTCCAATAAATTGTGTGGGATATGTGGGTAGGTTTGTGAGGAAGAAGAATGTTGGCTCCCTACCTCAGTTTTTATACTATAATGACTTCCAGATGAATGGGATAATTAGACACAGCAGGAGACAACGCAGCCTTCTGTTTGCTTAGTAGTGTCTCACTGGAGATGTATGTGTGACACAGAGCCATAGACACAAGGAAAGATGGGAGAATTTGACCATATGACTATCAAATATATAATATTTTTATTTTGTGTGTATGAGTGTATTGCCTGCATGTGTGTAAATGCACCTGTGTTGTGCAATGCCTGCAGAGGTCAGAAGAGGCACTGAATTCCCCTGGAGCTGGAGTTATAGATAGTTGTTAGCTACCATGTGGGTGCTAGGAATTGAACCTGGGTTCTCTGCGAGAGCAGTCAGTGCTCTTAACCACTGAGCAATCTCTCCATCCCAACTATCAAAATTTTTTCATAATAGGAGAAGCTCAAAAAAATTCA